GCGTAAGAGATTATACTCGAAGTTAGTATAGGAATTGAATATCTTCGAGAGATCTTGCAGCGAGGAAATGCTCATCAGGCCTTCTTCGTAGATCTCGCGCGCACGGTCGACGAAGTTCAAACCGATGTAGTGGGCGGCAAGGGAGCACCAAAGATCTCCTTCCTGCTCCAGGAGTTCATCCTGCTCGTTCTTGAAGAGCGCCTCGAGCCTCAAGTCCTGCTGCTTCCGCCTTTCTTCGAGCTGCTGGCACAACTCCCACCATGAGGTCTGCTTCGGTTCTTTTTCAGCCGAGGCTAGACCGGCTCTCACCATGTCGGCTACCTTACGCGCGGCTTCGGCTGATCCGCCGAGCGGAACCTGTCCTTCGCCCATTAGCTCCTGCGGCTCAATATTGTACTCCAGGGCCTGTGGGTGGGCGTTGAGGCCGATGTCGGGAATCTTGCGACTTGCGATGAGTTTCCCAGCACCAGACCATAGCTGATCATGGGGGATCAGGGGGAATGAGCGTCGATCGAAAGTGAGACGAAGTCGGGGCGAAAGCCGGTGGCCATGGAGGAGCTCGCAGTACATGAACCAAACCTCGGGCAATTTCAGCAGCCCCAGGAGAGCACGTTCGAAAGGACCGTTGACATTCTCGAGCTGCCGGCGCCCGGAGCCCAGAGGCCGATTATAGAACAGCTCAATGCCTCCCTGAACATAGTAATTCCAGAGCCTGAACGATCCGGGGAGTTGTGTCAGAGCGTGGTCGAAGATGATCTTCAGTAAAGCTCTGGTGAAGTTCTTCTTGTTCTGGATTTCGGCGAAGCAGAGCCAATCGCGCACTTGATCTATATATTTCGATAGCCCTGTCTTGTGGGCTTGCTTGGATGAAAGATTCCAGCAAATCCGACGCACTGCCCGCTCCATCGCTACCTCGTGTGCTTTCGCGAGAGCCATAACGTCGAGTTCCGATTGGGCTCGGATGAATCGATAGCAATCACCCGTTTCGTTCGAATCAACTCCTGCACTGAAGCACTGCCGGGATGCACCTTCCCCCGTCTGGCCGAGAGCACTATCTGAGCGACGACGACTCAATCGACTTCACGATTTCAGAGTTCACGTTTGAAGGAGTCCTTAGAGCGAGGTTTGAGATTTGAAGAGCACGAGTAGGATGGATGGGTAGACAGTGACTTTTCAGGTAGATTGCACCTCCTTAAATATGAATCTGGTTGGACTTGAGAATGATTGGAAAGGAGCGCTCGTTCGTCTACGCAATCTCTCACCCCCCTCCCCCCGATACGGGCTAACCCTATCATAGGACCAGAAATCGGCGAGTCGAGGTCGTTCTCTAAGTAACGCGTGAAAGATAAGTGTAGATCAAGAAAATGGACCCTTCGATGAGTCGACGCAGCGTTCGCTCCCTCTTAATACGTATCGGAATTTCGCGATGCGGACCCCAGGGGATCACCCGTGCAGCTCATGAGTGTCGGTCTGATGGAGCCGACATCGGTTCGGATTGATTTGTAATCGGTATGTACAGTCGAACCTCGTAGATACGTCGCCTCGACTTACGTCAACCTCGTACTTACGCTACTCTCCCCGGTCCTACCTATGGAGCGGTATTCTTGATGAATTCAGTGAGTCTGGAGGGGTGAATTCTACGCTCGAGGACTTCCTCGAGCTCGAAGACCTTAGCGCGAGACAAAGAGCAAGATTCAAGTCATACTTCATTGCCGATTTTGACCACACTCGCATGCATGCTGCGGGGACGAAATTCTCGGCTCTCGATACCCTGGAAAATGATTTTACAGCTACCTGGAGAATCCCCCCTCGACTTACGTCGTTTTTCGACTCACGTCGGTGCTTCGCGCACCAATTAATGACGTAAGTCGACGTTCGACTGTATTGAAAAACACTAGCTGTTAGATGAAAATATTCAAGCACAGTTGATGCGCGACGCGGAGCTCGAGCAAAATCACTTTTTAGCCAAGTTTTGAACCGACTTCGGCAGGGAGATATAGGGGCCCGGCGGGAGCGATTCTTCTAAAGAATTCCACAAGGGAGATCGAGTGTTCGGCATTTGCCCCCTTCAGAATTCGGGATTCGGGACCACAGCTTCGAGTTCCCGATCGGCTTCCGGAAAAAAATTTCGCACCTTACGGGAGGTGGTGATTGGTGGTTTCTCACCGAGCCGCCGCGCTGGCAAATTGTCTGCTCCTCAGAACGTGTTTCTCGTTTCCACGGTTTCTCCGGCGATATCACTGCTTTGTTCGCGCTCAGAGCGGAACCGCGAGCTGGTGAGTCGTATTGCTAATACGTCGTATGATTTTTTCAAAATGTTCTAAGAAAGGATCAGGTCCGCAGGTGGCGCCGAAGCATATCTCGGTGTCTCACTGAACGAGCAGTGTATATTCGGGATAACAGGTATCGAAATAAGAGGTATAAT